TATATTTAAAAAAGAATTCAGACCTGTAAAGAATTTTTGTGAATTTATTAGAGCCAAACTGTCGACATATGCTGGGAAGCAGAACCTCAATGAATTGAGATAATGCTCCGGAGAATGGAGGGTTACATCTGTATTTATACATTGCAATCAAAGGAAAGGGACTTAGGTGGGTTACATGAAATCCAGTGGTGATAGATTAAGGAGGTGGGATAAGGCAAAGTGGGGAAACCTCTGGGATAGGATAAAAAGTGAAATGATGGGCATGTGCTTCTTTTACACAGATAGGTACAGGATAGTTTTACATAATTAACAGTTAACAATTAACTTGATAACAATAACAATGAGGGAATGTCCAGGTGCCATTTGTTGTGCCCTGAGGGGTCCGGGGGAAAAAAGGAAGTTACAAGTTACCCAGACATCTCGCAGATATGTTATCTTAGAGGCAAAAAGACAAATGGGCTCAGTAAAATCTAAGTTGATCTTTGTCAGGGAAAATATCGGCCTAGGACATGACTACCCACTATAACCTGTTTGTAGTTGAATATTTAATTTTCAGACCATCTTTTGTGGTTACTTTAGGTCTGAGTTTGCAAGACTGCCACGCAGGCCTCCCCTGAGCTTGTCAGGTTAGCATGTGGCCCTTTTCGTCCAATATATATCTCAGATATTATTTTTCCTCTGTTAAACTACCCTTTATAAAACCTGTGATTTTGTTCTATTAATCTTGTTCATTCTAGTCACACAGATGGTGGTTTATAATTTTTTAAAAGTATGACTCGGGCCCGGCCAGCATGGCTCAGTGGTTGAGCGTCCACTGGGCCTATGAATTGGAAGGTCAGGATTCAATTCCCAGTCAGGGCACATGCCCAGGTTGTGGGCTCAATCCCTGGTGTGGGGCGAGCAGGAGGCAGCCGATCAATGATTCTCTCTCATCATTGATGTTTCTATCCCTCTCTCTCTCCCTTTGTCTCTGAAATCAATAAAAATATGTTTTTTAAAAAGTATGAGTCATGAACCCTAATTTCTGTTTGACTAATAAGCTTCGGTGAGTGTTAACTTCTCCAGAAGGTATACTTTGCAGTTCCAAAAGGATCACAGTGGGGTGGAGGGATTGTTTTCCCTGATTTAACATTAAAATTGGTTATATATTCTATATATCAGTGTTTCCCTTATTAAAAATTCAGAGACCTGGGCTCTACCCCAGACCCACTAAATCTGCTTTTCTGTAAATTAGCACACAAATCACAGAGCCACTGCTGTATACAATATAATCCTGATTTTTAGAAAATGTTTTTATTGATTTTATAGAGAGAAGGGGAAGGGAGAGGGAAAGATAGACACATCAATGAATGAGAAACATCAATTGGCTGCCTCCTGCATGCCCCCTCCTAGGGATGGAGCCCGAAACTCAGGCATATGCCCTGACCAGGATTTGAATCGATGAACTCTTGGTTCATGGGTCGATGCTCAACCACTGAGCAACACCAGCTGGGCAATATACTCCTGATTTTAGTATAATAAACTATGACACAAATAGAAGAAAATACAGATGACTGTATCAAAATTAAAAGGGTGAAAGTCTTGTTCAAGCACATTTTAATTTTTATTATTTTTTTAATATATTTTTATTGATTTCAGAGAGGAAGAGAGAGGGAGAGAGAGCTAGAAACTTCAATGATGAGAGAGAATCATTGATTGGCTGCCTCCTCCACACCCCCTACTGGAATCGAGTCTGCAGCCCGGGTATGTGCCCTTGGCTGGAATCAAACCTGGGACCCTTCAGTCTATAGGCTGATGCTCTATCCACTGAGCCAAACCAGCTAGGACAAGCATATTTTTAAAGAAATGAAAAAATCTCATCAATTTTACTACATAAAATTGAGATTCCTTGCAACAAAATAAGACCAAAAAGCTAACAGAGATGACAAAATAGCAAGATATATTTTCCATGGCAGACATTATGTAATGCCTTGCATTGTTTCCTTCCAATATGAGTAAAATGCATCAGAAATAAATCCAAAGTTCTTTTTTGTAGTCAGCCCACAAAATGGTAAGCCAGCCCTATGCCCTTGACTTTTTAAAAAATATATATTTTTATTGATTTCAGAGAGGAAGGGAGAAGGAGAGATAGAAACATCAATGATGAGAGAGTATCATTGATTAGTTGCCTCCTACATGCCCCACATTGGGGATCGAGCCCGAAACCCGGGCATATACCCTGACTGGGAATCAAACCATGACTTCCTGGTTCGTAGGCCAACTCTCAACCACTGAACCACGCCGGCTGCACTTGACGTTGGTTTTATTTTTTTCACTGTGTGATGCCATTTGGGAGGGTCTTCATGTCTCCAGAGCAGTCTGCAAGGTTATGGCAGCCTGGTGGATGCTGGTGGGTGAGATGAGGGTCCAGGGGCTCACTGTGGCAGTTTTACAGACAGGATGAATCCATCCCCCTGGTGCTCTGAGGACTAGAAGGACCCACCCCAACCACACTCATCTCCAGGTTGTCTGGCTTTGGCTTCTCTGCTCCAGCCTGCGGCAGGCACCAGACCCTCCTAAGCTGATGGCCAGGCAGTCCTGGACATACTAGTACTTACCTGGAGGACCATGACTGGCCCCATCTGAAGGCAGAGCACTTTGCCTTCCCCTCCTTCTGTTTCTCTTTCGGAGAACTTTGTAGGGGAGGAGATAAAGCCCTCAGGATTTCTAACTGGGAACATAGGTTGGGATCATCTTTGAGCAAGAAGATGTCTGACCTGGGCCTTACCAGGTAACTTGGGGCTGAAGCAGAAGGGACTTCTAACAAGACCTCTCTCATCGCTCCCCTATCCACTTTGCTCAGACTCCAAGAAGGGCCTTGAATGTGTCCCAGCCTGTTGGGGTGGTTCTGTGGTGACTTTAGCTATGTGTGCGCCTGGCATCGTGCTTGTGATGTCTGCATCAGCCCAGGCCCAGAGGCACAGGAGACCCCAGGTAAAGGGAGCTTGCAAAACCATGTGATCTTTCAACTCAGGAGAAAAGAGGTGTCACTACCTGTGTGAACACCCCTATGCACTGCAAGTCCAGCCCATGACATAGCGCCAAGGAGGTCAAGCTGTGAATTAGTGTGAAGATGCTTTTGAAGACATTGATGGTGGAGGATCAGCAGCATCCAGAGCCTGGTTCTCGGTTCCCTCACCATCTCCCTGCCCAGGTAGAATGCTGTATCTCCATCGCATGTCCAAGAGGTGACTTGCCCGGCCAAATCCAGAGCAGAAAGCATTAAGGATCTAGGACAGCCGTGGGCAAACTACGGCCCGCGGGCCGGATCCGGCCTGTTTGAAATGAATAAAACTAAAAAAAAAAAGACCGTACCCTTTTATGTAATGATGTTTACTTTGAATTTATATTAGTTCACACAAACACTCCATCCATGCTTTTGTTCCGGCCCTCCGGTCCAGTTTAAGAACCCATTGTGGCCCTCGAGTCAAAAAGTTTGCCACCCCTGGGCTAGACTGTCTGGCATCATTCGCATCTCGAGAGTGGCTTTCTCTGAGGTGCTTGCAGCGATTATCCGGACACTGAGACTCGGGGCCTCTTAGGGCTGGACTGACCATCAGCCATAGCTGTTTGCTCCGCCCTATTGATCCCCTGGGACCCCGCCCCGCCCAAGCTGTGCACTGAGGCTTTTGCAATCTGAGAATTACCTAACAAACTTGCAGCTGGCCCAAGGCCCCAGGGCAAATTGCATTCCTTCACAGCTGAGCTCCTGATGAGTAGCCTCAGGTTAGCACCTCCTGAAAGATCCAGGAGCCAGTGTGCCCAGTGGTCAGAGTGGGACCATCCAGATTGCAAC